AAGTGTTTTGAAACTAACAAAAAAGTTTCTATTCAAATGCAAATCATGTGATTAGCAAACAATTTATTAGTCAGTTATCAATGGCTCAGAGGATGCCATCAATACAGACAATAGTGTTTTTAAGACAGAATTTTCTTCAATATTTTTGATCAATTAATTGAATTTTAAGTACATTTTCATCGAAATGTACCATGGTTATTACCATTTTAATTGTTATATTCTACGATTATATTACATTAGGATATAATATATTGTAGTTTATTTAAAATTAAAATCAATTACTTTCAAGAATTTGTTTTAAAATCCAGATAAATAAATGAATTGTATCTCACAAATACAGGGATAAAAATTAGGATAAAAGTTTTGTCATAAAACATAGACAACTCCTTATTTGAATTCAAAGTATAGAACATAGAAAATATTATTTTTATTAGTTAACTATACGAGTACTTCATTAATTATCAAAGTATTAATTTTGTTAATCATTTACTATTGGTTTCAACAGTTAATAAAAATCAATTTTAAAACCAATAGTAAAGATATAAAATAAATTTCGGATTTAAACCGAAAGATAATCATAATTAAAATGCAGCAAAAATGTTATAAATATTAAAGTAATAATTATTAAATTATAAAATATAAATACAAAACATATGGCAAAAGTTTTAATAAAATATTAATAAAAATATAAACAAATGTTATAATTAAAGCCAAATTAAAAGTTAGCAAACAATGTATGGTTTGAAATGTGCGCCAAAAGTGTATGTATTTTATGTATTGAATGGTTTGTTGAGTGGAAATGAGAGCAAAAGTCAAAACAAATAAAAGCCTTAAAACCAATGCATTAATGAATGTATGGATGAGTTGTTCACTAAATATCACACATTTTGTGATCCAATGATTGCAATCCTATAACACATCCAAACCATTCCTCATGAGTGACACTCTGTGTCCGACGGACCACATGATGGTCAACACCGACGACAAGTTCATTGTGGACAATATGCTTACCGACGAGGACTTGGGTATTGTCTCGTTTGTCACGCCTTCCCTCCCATCCGCTTATCTCACAACCAATTGATCCTTACATTTATCTTCAGACTTAGACTTAGATCCGTGTCTATGGATGGAGATGTTGTCCAACGACTCGTCCAGCAGTTCCGATTCGATGACACAACTCATTGGCGACAGTTTGGCCGCCGAAGACATGACGGCTGTGTCGCCGACGGCACTCATACCACTGCAGACACCGGAAACGCCGCCCTCTTCTGACCGCTCGACTCCACCCAATTTCGATGACCTCTTGTACGCCACGAACGCCTCCGCCGGCGGTTACACACCGTATGACAACCACCTCTTCATCACATCCAACGCCAATCAAATGCCGGCCCAAAACGTAACACTCATACCAGCCATCAATTTGTGTCCAACACTGAGCCCATTATCACCAGTACTTCCGGCCACAGCGGCCTCCGCACCGATGGTGGCCATCAAAACAGAGACCAACGAAATGATTGTTATAAACAATCAGTTGAATAACACACTTATGAAAGCCAATAGTGTTTCGCGCACTTCTTCGGTGACCAGTAATTCGCGGCTCGATTTGAGTCAACAAAGACGTGAAGCGCGTAAACTGCGGAACAGAGAAGCGGCCACAATATCCCGCAAACGCCAGAAAGAATACGTCCAGTCGTTGGAAACGAGTATCAATGGTCTCATCAAAGAAAACACTGATCTCAAGAGTGATAACGAAAGACTGCGACAACGATTGGCAACAATCGAAGAGAAATATCACTCAATCACTAGAAAGGGCTATAATTACGGCCCAATTGAGAGCACCTGTAATAAGTGTCGGCAGTCGCTGTCGGCCACCGCTTTGAGTTCAAATAAAAAGGCGACACTCAGTCTATTGGCCGTCATTTTCATGTTAGGCCTTAATTTGGCCCCTTTTGGAGGCATTAGTATCACTAGTGATAAGACATTGTCGGCCATTGACACCAATCCGAGGCTGGAGTCGGCGGTCAAACACGGACCGAGTCGTGCGCTTCTGTGGAACTCCAACGTTGACAACGATCTGGCCATCGATATCATTGCGTTTAACTCTAGTGTCCGAAATGGCAGTCTTTCGGACGTTAACTGTAAGTCTTATATCAACCAAACGGAGTCCAGAAGACTGGCCACTGATTTGAGGTATTGGGTGTCGAGAGTGGAGATGGAAAAGGAAGAAGTGTTTAGAAGCAAACGACGAGTGAAAGCCAATAGCAATGAGATTAAAAGTCGTTACGACAAACCCATCCCTTTGTCGCGTCTGAAAGAGTGGATCCAAAAGCGAACCGAAACTGATTTCAACGACTTTTATGACTATTCGGCCGATTCTTACAATAATAAGAATCTAAAAGTACCGCACATTGGCTTCGAAGACCTGTTGTCAGCCATACCGCGTCGTTCGGACACATTCTACTTGTTCTCGTACTCATCCAAAGATCACCTCATAATACCGCCGATCGCTCACAACACCACAACCGCCGGTGATATTAGGCCACGATTTTCTCTGTTAATGCCATTGATATCGACGTTGAATGAGTCGACAATTCGGGGCACAAATATAACATACAATCAAATCTCAATTATGCAAATCGATTGTCACGTAATCAACACTAAAATGGTTTTATTCAACAGTAAGAGCACATCTTCGGGTGATAGTAGACGTAGTAATGGCGGTATTGTTGGTGGCGGTGGTAATGGTAGAGGACAGCCATCGCTGGCCGTTAAGAATGGCACCAAATATCGGCTCAACTCACGCAACAAGACATCATCGATGGCTTCAAAGAGTAACTCTTCACTCAACTAAAGAGTGCAATAAAAATAATTGCAATTTGTTTTGGTCTCCAATTTATTATATATATATATTTCATGACAATTATTATTATTAATATAATTGAATATTTATTTGAAGGTATTTTATATTTTAAGCATAAATTTATATACAAAATACAGTATATTTAATAATTGATTACTTTATTTGTATTTTTGTGGTGTTTTTTGTATTTTTTTAATTTTAAATTCATAGCGAACTATATTTTGTATTTTCTAGTCTTAACACCTTATCTGCAAAATATGTTTATTTACAGTGTTTTTTGCTTTCTATTCATTGAATTCAATAAACTTAACCCATAAAATCACATTTGGTTTACACTTAATTTAATTTGTTTATATTTAACCAAAATTAAGTTATAAAATAAGTTTATAATAAAACTAATTATTTGCCAAAAGATGGCAATAGTTGTCCCATAAATGATACTAATTTGAGTCAAACCTAAAGTTGAGTTTTAATAATATGTTTTGATTGGCCAATAGATGTGACCATCGGTTCCGTAAAACATCAATATTTGAGTGAAACGTGTTTTGCATTAAAGGCCGTAAAGGCATGACTCACGAGAAAGGGGTGTGTCTTATATGTAGTGTTGTTTACAAACACTGTTTTGACATTTCATTTGAAACTCACTAATTGTGGGATCAGTTGTTGTGATCATTGTTTTGCATTCATATCTGTTGACCGCATAAATGGTCTAATAATCGACTGACAAATATATATATAATGATAAACGCCATGAATATCGAGGCACTCGAGGCTGAGGCCCGACAGACGGCTATCAAACACGTGTCAAATATGCTTCAAAGACCGGATCAGTTGGAAAAAGTGGATCAATACAAGCGAAGAGTCATCCGGAAGAAGGTATAGACCATTGAAATGGATTTGAATGATAACCCAATTGTGATGTTATGTGTGTTTCAGACATCGGTTGAGGGAATGCTGAAGACAGCGATGCAGACACAGTTGGATGGCGTGCGGACCGGACTCATACATCTGCAGACATCACAGCAGGACATCCATGAGATCAAGAAGA